TGCAGCCAGCCTCTATAACAATTGCCTCGACCGTGCGTGGACGAGTGCTAGACCCGTCAGAGACTCAAGATCCTCACTACTGGGGAGAGCAGCTTACATTGCCAGTGAGGTTTAGAGAAGCCGTGGAGGCAGCTGTAAAGGCAGCTGATTCGGATCATATCGTATTTGTGGAGGTCGGGCCCCAGAGGACACTCGTGAATCTTGCAAGCCAGATCCTGGGAAAGAAGCAGCTGAATTGGGTGAAGTACTACGAGTTAGCTGGACGTGACCGCATTGCGGAATCCAGAAGTGAACTTGAAGCCTCGCTCGAAGAGATATCCACTGCGGCGTCGGCTCGTCCGGTCTGTCTCTGGAATCACAAGTAAGCCTTCCTACTTCTCTTTCCGCCCTTGTGAGTTTGTGTGCATTTCGTTTGTGCGCAGCCGTACTTTGTAATGCTTTGAGCGTGCGTGTTGTGGTCTTCCACAGGAAGTTCCCCTTCCCATTCGAAACCGCAGAACGCCAACGTGCCCCGGCAACTGTCCGTCCAACTGAACAGGAAGTGACTCCACTCATTCAAGGCCCGCTATGGAAAATGACGTGGAAAGAGTTGAAACAGCAGAACGCGTTACATACCTCTCTCTCCGACCGTGCGCAGAACTGGCTGTTCTGTGGAGTACCGAAGGAACATGTTTCTTCCTTCCGCAGCCTTCTCAAATCGTCAAACATCGGCGACGCTGTGGTCGTGGAAGCCGGCTGCATAGAACCAGATAGCCCACTTCCGTCTTTGCCTTCTGGGCGTATAGAGAGCGTTGTATTCGTTGGTGGCCTGTGGAGGACATCCTCCTCCACAGCATGCCTTGACGAACTACGGGCTGTGCTCCTTGCCTACTCAAGATCAGCGCAAAGCGACCCGGAATTCAGACCTCCATTCTGTGCCATTGTAAACTGCAGCAATAGCTCTTTTGGCATTCCTACTCAGCATAATCCCAACAAGCACGGCGCCGACTTCGACATCAGGCAGGCAGGGCTTCTAGGAATGTGCCGTACAAGTCGCCTGGAAGTTCAAAGACTTTGTAAGAGACCGTTCCAAATGCTATATGTGAATGTTGAAGATGATTCAGCGGGATGCCTCAGCAAGGCTTGGAGCTGGATTGACACCCAGTGTGGTTTATTGAACACGTCATCCGCATTGGTCGAAGAGGACGTCGTCATCACGAGCGATTGCCACATGGTTCCTCGCCTTGAGCAAGTTTCAACGTCGCAGTCAGCGAACAGAATTGCCGTCACATCCAAAAAGTCATACGTAGTTACTGGTGGTACTGGAGGGCTCGGCTTGAGTGTTGCAGAGTGGCTGTTAAAAAACGGTGCAGGAATGGTTGCTCTCTTGTCAAGAAGTGGCAAGCCAGCCAATACTTTGTTGGATATGCCAGCCTGGAAAACTGTTGAAGAGGGAATGAATGCGCATCGGGCAGCAATCATGCTGTGTGACGTGGCGGATGCTCAACGTCTCATGGATACGCTATCCAAAATCCACAAAAGCATTCCTATTGGAGGAATATTTCACTGCGCTGGATACGAAGGTGATGCCAGTATTGTTGATACTAGCCTGAGAAGCATCGAACGCGTTTACGAGCCGAAAGCGCATGGAGCATGGAACTTGCATCTCGCTTGCCAAGAATTAGATTTGGACCGTGACTTGGATATGTTTGTTCTCTTTTCCTCCATTTCTACTTTGCCTGGAAATGATGCTTTAGCCACTTACGCTGCTGCCAACGCATACTTAGATTCGTTGTCATACTGGCGGAGGTCGCAAGGACTTAAGGCCCAAAGCATCCAGTGGGGACCGTGGAATGACGTCGGTATGGTCACACGAAACGAAAAGCTTGATAGGGTATTCAAATCACGTGGGATCAAGCCATTCATGCCTGAGGAAGGCATAAAAGTCATGGAGATGGCCCTAGAAACTGAGGAACCATGCGTGTGCGCCTTGAATGTGAACTGGAAGAAGTACTCCCAGGCATTCGGTCACAACGCTCCGCTAGCCTTAGCAGAAATACAGTCGGAAGAGCAAATTCAGCCCAAGAGCACTAGGGCTGAAGGTCCGTCAAAGGAGTCTATCGCAGCAATAGTTATAGAAGCTGCAGAATCGCTGGTTGACACAGACAGCCGAATCAGCCCAGATACCCGTTTGGATGAACTTGGCCTTGACTCTTTGGGATCTGTTGAGCTTCGAAACCTCCTTCAGGACCGTCTCGCGATGAGTTTGCCAGCGTCATTGCTTGTCGAATTTGCAACCCTAGGTGAAGTCATTGAGTACATTGCTGAAGACCTATGCGGGGGACAAGCTTGGGGCTCCACAACTCGAACACCTGATCCCAAGCCTCACCTCTCAGGAGCCTCGGAGGAGGGATTCGCGGTGATCGGTATGGGATGCCGGCTTCCAGGGAAAAGTAATTCACCAGAGGAGTTTTGGAATATGTTACTGGCTGAGACCGACTGTGTTGAAGACATTCCCTGGCAACGATTCAATATACAGCCACTCTTTGACCCCGATCCTGAGGAGAACAAATGCTATGTAAAGGAAGCAGCCCTCCTGGAAAATGCTCATCTATTTGACAATGAGTTCTTCCAGATGACCGAGAGCCAGGCAAGAAACATTGATCCTCAGCAGCGTGTCCTACTGGAAGTGGCTTACGAAACGTTCGTCGATGCGCAATACAAGCGGGAAGAGGTGAAAGGCCAGGAAATAGGGGTATTTTGTGCAACATACACCAATGACTATCATTTGTCCAGTCTGACCAAAGGTGAAAACGGTATTCTTGCTATTGGAGAAGGGGTGGATGGTGGCGTACCCCGCTTAGGCGAAGCATCCGGATACCCTGAGCCAGGAAGCTTGATGTGCTTGATCCCGAACAGGATATCCTATTCATTCGGGCTTATCGGACCCAGCATAGGTGTTGACACCGCGTGTGCTTCAGGTCTAGTAGCCCTGGATACAGCGGTTATGAAGTTGAGGCTTTCAGCCTGCACAAAAGCGTTTGTTGGTGCAGTAAGTTTGATTCTTGTTCCTTGCTTCTTCTTGGGTGGCAGCAAAACACGACAATTTGCAAAATCTGGAAGGTGCCGCACATTTGATGCTGCAGCAGATGGCCTTGTGCGTGGCGAGGGGGCTGCTGGAATCTTGCTTGCACCGTTATCTGCTGCACGGTCAGAGTCGAAATTTGTGCATGCTATTGTGCGTGGCACGGCAATATCTCATTATGGGCGGGGTGCACGTTTGACAGCCCCAAATACTAGAGCTCTTGCCAGAGTTATGAACCTAGCGCTAAATGACGGTGGCGTTGACCAAAAAATGGTGAGGTGCTACGAGGCGCACGGCACAGCAACAGTTCTTGGAGACATTATAGAGATGAATGCACTCAAGCAAGTGTTTGAAGACCGTCCAAAAGAAACTCCACTAATCGTGGGCACTGCACACAACAACATCGGACACCTTGATTCGGCAGCGGCTTTAGTTGCATTCATAAAAACCGTTCTCTCCCTAAAGCATCGTTATGTGCCACCGAATATCCAGTTCAACAAGATGCACCCAGACATTACTGCTTTTGACACAAGCAGGATAGTTTACGTCCGGGAAGGTCAAGCCATCCGCACGGCGGATAACCAGACAAAAATATTCGGTGCCAACCTTGCATATGGTCTGGGTGGTACAGTAGTGGCCGCGATAACCGAAGAGGGTGACGATCCTGCAAAAGCTCCACAGGTGGGTTATTACGTTGGATTTGTTTCTACGCAAACTTGCATTTACTGCAATTGCCCACATGGAGGACTCTGCTGCGCCGTGAGCTGTGTGTAGGCAGTGTTACGCAAATTCTAAAGACATTCATTATCTCTATGCTTGCAGGTAACGCGTCATGTTTGGAAGCACAATTCCTTCCCTCTAGATTCTCAGAAATTTGTCTTCTTATTGGGCGCCGCAGCACTGCTGGCCCAAGATAGGAAGCAGACTCCTCGAGACGATGTAGCCTGTCTGGTCGGCTGCATCTGCAAGAACATGTTGACTAGGCAGAACCTGGCATCTTTGAGCCCTTGCATACCCCCTGACTTGGTTTCCGAGATCTTTTTAACGGGAGCGACGGGGCTCACTGGCAGCCAGATCCTGCTAAGTCTGCTGGAACAGCAAATTGACTGCGGAAGGGATGGACAGAAACGGTTCCCTCGGATATACTGTCTGGTCCAAGCTCGAGACCGCATGCATGCCATGTATAGAATTGTGGATGCTGTCATAGGGAGAGGCGGTCAGTGGAAGCAACGCTATTTCGAACAGGTCGTGCCAGTTGTCGGAGATTTGAGAGCGCCAAGGCTTGGCCTGTCTCAGAAGACGTTTGATGCACTGACGAGCACAGTCGAGGCAGTTTACCATGCTGGAAGGGTTGTAGACTTTGCACTTCCCTACGAAGCAATACGTAAAGCCAACGTCCTGTCTCTTCTCCCTCTTGTCGAGATGTGCACAACAGGAAAGGCTAAGCACCTTCACGTGCTGTCAGACTTTGCAGCACACATTCAGTACTTTGCAGCATTTGCCGGTGACCTCAACCAACCAATATCAGAAGAGCTATCTGTTTCGCAGCCGTTGATGGACAGGATGGAGAACCAAATGCCGGCGAGCATCATGGGCTACCCTTGGGCACGCTGGGCTGTTGAAGAGGTACTTGCGAAGTGTCAGGATTGGATAGACAAGCTGCATGCATCAGCAGCTGACGACCTACAAGACGCCAAAACAAAATTCAACTTTACGATATACAGGCTTCCAAATTCTGCAGTGTATTTCAATAATGGCAGAGTTGAGTTCTTGAACCCATTCTTTGCAATTACAATGACTGCGCTGCAACAGGGCGTCGTCCCTCCAGGCGTTTTACCCGTAGGGCCTCCTTTCCTAACCACGCCCATTGATATTTCAGCCGATATATTGGTTAGAATTTCCAGGCGCCTCCACCGTCCAACTGTCATTCACATTGTCAACCCGGTTGGGGTCCGAAGGGAAGCTCTGAACCAAACGTTGCTTGCTCTCAAGATTCCATTCCGAGAGTCGTGCGAAGATGAATTCCTTCGAGGAATCGAAAAAAATCAAAATAGTTCAGCTGCATACACACTGCTTCCTGTGATGCGCGTAAGTCAAGTCACACACGGGAACAGAGCACAGTATGAATTTGTTAATTAGCAGCACTGCTAAGAATAACTTGAAGACCCTCCATCAGAACATCTTACAGGCGGACTCACGTGTTTCTTTCTAGCGGCCAAAGCCAGTTTACTTGCCAAAACACGTGCAGTTTAATTCAACACAATACGCTTTCCCTGACATATTGTTGACATGTGGCTGCAGTTCTGGAGGCTTTACTGGTTCTCTGAAGACCTTGACAGGAAGGATGCCTTCCCGATTGTCACCGCAAATATAGAGGCTTGCCTTCCCAATGCTTTAAAGCAGTTCCCGCATCCGAGCGAAGTCTGGACGAGAATGCTTGCTTACTGGTAAGTTGTATAGGTGGACAAAAATAAGAAACCCCGTTCATAAGTGAATGCATGAACAAACTAATTCTCTGTTTAGGCAGATCAAGCATTCTTGAAATTAAGAAGGTTACAGTCGCCGAGAAACACACATTTCTTAGGAGTTCAACGTGTAGCCATGGCAAACGAATTGACGAGCAAGCTTCTAGCGAGGGGAAACACGAACGCGATCTACCGTTTAGCGTCTTATATTAGTGGAATTTCAAGATTATTATTTTGCAAATGGGTGGTGTGATTCTTTTCAGCTTGAGAAACTACCACCTCGTCAGGGACCCATTCGACGCTATCATTCCACTGGGATTCTTGCAAAATGTTGGTGCCTCGCTTACTGCCACAACATCATTTGATCACATGTCAAGCGGCACGCAGAATATGCTTAAATTGGCACTGCGTGGTAGAACCAACAAGGAGATTGAACAGGCGCTGGAGTGGCAGGGCAAGGACTTCGT